TCAGCTGAGCTAAAAAACAAGGGAACGTAGGAGAGGTAAGGGCGGGCGCAAGTGGGTGGGGCCAGGTGGCATTCTCCAAACCAGGCAAATTTTCCGCGACTGGTATGCCAGAACTGGTCCAAACTGGCTGAATACCACCTCTGGCCTGTCCATTCTCAGAAACCGAGTGAGACCGGACCCTTCCTGGGCCTTCAGAAGCCAGAAGCAGGGGGGAGGGCTGCTGTGGAGTGAGGGGCATGGACTCCCAGATCAAAAGTTGGGGATCCCAGAGCTTTTATCTGTGGGATTCCTCAACCTCCCTCTTTTCTAGGAAAAGCAAGGAAGAGGAGAAGATGAAAGGGAGGAGGAGAACATACAACCCTCTACACAGAGAGGTTTCCCTTTTGGTGAGGAAACTGTGACACAGACATGCTTCCCTTGGACTGCTGGGACCTAAGGCAGGTGTGGAATCGTGGAAGATGGTGGAGATACACAAGGGAGGCTGCCCTGGGTGCTGAGTCCCTCCAGGATTAATGCCTCCTCAACTCATTCCAGCTGACTGTGAGCGAAGCTGCTCTAAACAGGCATCTTTCACCAACGGGCTTCTCTTCTCTCGCTGCATCCGCAGGAGGAGGAGGGGGAGGCCCCCAGTGAAAACATTCTTGGCCAAGCTCCGCATTCCTCCTTCCAGGATCCTCATTAAAAGTGGCTGTAGCACCACCTTCCAGCCTTTTTATTTTAAGGAGGGGACCAGAAATAATATCATGGTCATTTTATATTTCTGTGAAGTGCTGCGTGGGGAAGAGGAGGCACGTAGACGTAGAGTAACCTGCTTGGGACTTGAAGAGGCCCTTCCCAGCATCTTCTCGCCTTGGGTGCCTCGAAAGCCAAGCAAGACGATTTGGGGTGGGGGGTGTGGGGGGAGGTCCAATGGGGATCTAAAGAAATACTCTGGAAGAAATACTGATCCCAGCAAAACAGCCAGGCGAGCTCCATGTGATCAGCAGGAATAACAGAGTTGGAAGGGACCTTGAGGTCTTCTAGTCCAACCCCCCGCTTAGGAATCAGGGCCTCCAAAGGAGCCCCAATGATAGGATATCCCTAATTGCACAAATGACACGGCGCAATGATGTCAAGAAGGCCACGTGCTTCCCACTTCACGGATACCCCTGGCTGGTATCAACTGGGACTCCAGGAGGCCACTGTAAGATAAGGGAAGCCCAATAATTACCAAGTTCAATAATTATCAGCTGCTGCCATGAATTCCCCTTTCGATCACATTTGAAACTATAATTTAGCAGCAAAGTTAGAGGGTGCAGAGAAGGAAGGAAGGACCACAAGGACGAGGGTGGCCCGTGATAAAGTGACACCCGTCAGTGACGGAAAGATGACATCCAGGCTGCATCCGAAAAGACAGGAATTGCTTTTATAAAAAGAAAGAAGGACAAGGATGTTTTGCTAGACATTTGGGTACACCCCACTTCCAAGATGGCCGAGACAGGTATGGAAAGAACTTCTTTCATTGGGTGATGACTGCTGACCAGTGGTCCATATCCAGATCTCTGTGCCTCAGGTGACCTTTCAGCCATGACTGTAAGTTATACAAGATGGTAATTTGCAGAGAAGATACAATTCAAAGGCCCCTGGTTGATGTTCGGTCATTGAGTCATTTCAGCCTTGGGACTTTGTCAAAACTATCTAGCAGCACCTTGAGTGCTTGGGAGCACCTGCTTGTCCCCAGGCCGCTTGGTCACCTTGTTCTTCCCAGCCTCTTTCTTGACGGCCTCTGAATCCACCAACCATCTTCGTCATTGATTCTCACCTTTGCCTTGTGGTGAGCCTCAACCGTCACCGTGCAACACCCAACCCACAGGGGATCTGTCTGAATGGTCCATGCTGAGAGGACCATTTTTACCCTCCCTCTGGCCAGGATCAGTATTTTTGTTGCGTTCTTTATGACTGCGACATTTTTCAATTTTTATCACTTTTATATTGGCTATTGGGTGGCATCCGGTTCTCCCCTTTGGGGAGAAATGAGGGACTATGTAAATTTGTTTAATAAATGAATACACTGAATGAATAAATACAATTCTCTGTCCAACCTATCTCAACTGTAACTTCCACTGAACAGCTTGGCTTTGCACCATCTGGTACTGAATGTTGATTCTTCTGGTTGTCCAAGATAACCTCAATGATTTCTCAAGCATAGTTCAAAGCCATCAGTTGAATAGTTGAATAAAAGGCATACTTCATAGATGATACTTAAGTACCTTGTTCCCCCCAAAATAAGACCTGTCCCCCAAATAAGCACTAGCATGTTTTTTTCCTGTGTGTGCCTAATATAAGCCCTACCCCCAAAATAAGCCCTACTTAAGAGCCTGCACAGCTGGCCGCCTGCCCATTCCATCTGGTTGCTTGCAGTGCCACAGTCATGAGGAGGGGAGGTAGAGCTGCCCTATGTACCCTAAACCAGCTTACCTCAGGGCTCCTGCAACCAGGCCATCCACACCCTGACACCTGTCTTGTGGTGGCAGCACCAGCAGCCATGTGTAGCAGGAGCCCATGTAGGCGCCAGCCCACTTCTGCTTGCTCGCGGCTGCAACGGAGCAGGAGGTTGAGTGGTGTGTTGGGGCCACGGCCACGAGGCGAGGCAGGTGTCAGGGCATGGATGACCTGGCAGTGGGTCACTGAGGTAAGCCAGTGCAGGGCACGTAGGGCAATTCCACCACTTTGCCTCGCTTTGTGGCCATGGCACAGGTGCGTCACTCAGCCTCCTGCCCCACTGCAGCCATGAGCAAGCGGAAGAAGTGGGCCCGGGGCCACACGATGTCCTGCCCGTTGGGGTTGTCAGAGCTGCTGCCACAAGGTGAAGCAGGGGTCGGGGCATGGGTGGCCTGACTGCGGGGGCCCTGAGGTAAGCGGGTGTGGGGTACTGGGGCAGCTCTACCGCCTCGCACTGGTGACACTGCTCAGCCTCCTGTCCTGCTGCAAGCAAGCAGAAAAAAATGGGTCTTCCATACATGGGGTGAGGGAATAAAACACCCCCCAAATAAGCCCTAGGACTTGTTTTGGGACCAAAAAGAAAATAAGACCCAGTCTTATTTTCTTTTGGGTCCCAAAACAAGCACTAGGGCTTCTTTGGAGGATGTTTGATTCCTTCACCCCCATGTATGGAAGACCCATTTTATAAACAGTTAAGCACCTGTGTTTTCCTGAAAATAAGACCCGGTCTTATTTTCAGGAAGGGTACTTAACTGTTTATTGGGACAGTTTGAATTTAAATTTCAAAGACATTGATCCAGATACAAATCTAAGAACTCTGAACCTTTTCTCAAAGAAAAGAGTAGAATATATTGTCAAACAGAGGGAATAGAAGATAGCAATAGCAATAAGACTTATATACCGCTTTATAAAGCTTTACAGCCCTCTCTAAGCGGTTTACAGAGTCAGCTCTTGCCCTCAACAATCTGGGTCCTCATTTTATCCACCTCGGAAGGATGGAGGCTGAGTCAATTTTGAGCCTGATGAGATTCGAACTGCCAAATTGCAGGCAGCTGGCTGCAGCAGAAGTAGCTTGGAGTACTGCACCCTGACCACTGTGCCACAGAGGCTCCTATAGATACCAGTGCAACTGGTTGGAATTCAAAGGTTTCTTGGTGGGCAGATCATTTGATGCTAGATTGAAGTTTTGAAATGAACCTGCCGTCAACTCATAAAATATTTCTATGGTCTTTTTAGCATTGCCAACAGAATGGGAGGGGGGAGCAGTGCAGCAGCTTGCAAACCGGAACTGCATTCCATAAATAGTTTTTCAAAGATAGTAACTAGGTGACTGAAGTTTCTGCCCCGCAAAATTCTAACTGGAGAGCATGATTGATGACTCTTGGCTATGGAGGTGTCCCATTGGAGAATATGAATTATGATACACCCAGGGGGTGGAGGGAAAACCAGGGTCAAGGGTGACAACGAATGATGTATCTCAGAGTCGGCTACACTCAGGCAGTGCCGGCATGTTTATTCCCAATAAATCCTTTTTAAGTTTTGGAAGTTTGGCTTGAGACTCATGATTTAAATGGGGGGAACTGCCGGAATCCTGACACCTGCATCACCAGTGAGAGAAGTGGAGAAAAAGGGGGTCCATTTTTCACCAGAAGCATGCCTGTTCCCAACCTGGGTGACTGAGCTGCTGCTCAAAGGGCAATCACAAAAAGGTTGAGGGCATCTCTGAAGGCTCCCCAGCCTGCTCACACATGGGCCTCTCTCCATAGAGCAGAGGCACTCAATCTGGGAGGGGGAGAGAAGAAATGGATCCCCTCCATTAAGCAGGGTGGCTCTGTGCTGTCCAGCCAGTATATGGGAATTGGATAGTTAGTTAGCAATTGTGAGCTGTCCCCTTAAGGGAATGCATCATGGTAAATGTAGTTAACGTATCCTGGGAAAAGTAGTCCATGTCACGTGACCACATCTGTAATCCTGATTGGTCACTAAATTGGCCCTCGGGAGGGTTGGGGGAGGTTTCTTCACTCTTGCCTGAACTCACGGACTCGTGGTAACTATTGCTACGAGATGGGAGGAAAGGGATTAGGAGATAACCATCTTTTTACCTACAAGACAGATATACAAAGGATTGGACATTAAGAAGAACTTCATCACAAATGTGAGTTATGAGGATACCTGATGAACCAATAATAAAGACCTTGTATGAATGTTTTGTTGAGTTTATCTATCTGCACCTGTACAGAAGACAAAATCTACCACTGTACAGAATACAGAAGAGGCTCCTTTGAGTCTCAGGGATTTGACCCAGGAGCTCCATCAGCAGAGTTGTCATAAGACTTTCTCAACTCTGCTCTTGAATTGAATCCTGGCAAAACCAAGGAAAACCTGTAGATAACAAGGGACATCTGTTGGGGATGACTTTTGTGCGATGGAGGCACAACCCACAGGCAAAGGCATGGATGCCCGTGACATGTCTACCCAATAGGGTGGTCTAGATAGAACAGGGGTCTCCAACCTGGGCAACTTTATGACTTGTGAACTTCAACTCCCAGGAATTCTGGGAGTTGAAGTCCACAACAGAGGTGGTATCCAGCAGGTTCTGACCAGTTCTGGAGAACCCGTAGCAGAAATTTAGAGTAGTGTGGAGAACCAGCAAATCCCACCTCTGACTGGCCCCACCAACCCCATCTCTTCTCTGCCTCCCATTGAGTCCCAGCTGATCAGCTGGATCTGATTTGGTTGCCCTGCCCAGGAGAACGGAGCTGGAAAGCAGGTTAGTGGGGTGGGGAGGGAATGGGGATTTTGCAGTATATCCTTCCCCTGCCACATCCACAAAGCCACACCCAAGCCAAGCCATGCCATGCCCACCAAGCCATGTCCAGTGGTGGGATTCAATTTTTTTTACTACCAGTTCTGTGGGTGTGGGCTTGGCTTGGCTTGGCAGGTGTGGCAGAGGAAGCATACTGCAAAATCTCCATCCCCTCCCCACCCCACTAACCTGCTTTCCAGCTCCATTCTCCTGTGCAGGGCAACAAAAGAAGACCCAGCCGATCTTCTGGGACTCAACGGGAGGCAGAGAATTGATGGGGCAAGGCCAGTAAGAGGTGGCATTTGCTGGTTCTCTGAACTACTCAAAATTTCCACTATCAGTTCTCCAGAACCGGTCAGAACCTGCTGAAGACCACTTCTGTTCTGGTCCCATCAGAGCCCCACACAAATCATTCATTTTATCTGGCTCAGGGAGGAGTGGGTTCATTTATCATTTTAGATCAGTGGTTCCCAAAGTGGGCGGTACTGCCCCCTGGGGGACGGTGGGATGCCTTAGGGGGGCACTGAGAGGCAAGGGGGCTGGCAGGGGGCTGCTAAGAGACAGCAGGGGGGCACTGGAGGTGAGCGGCAGGGGTGAGAAAAAATCCCGCCACCGCCACATTCGAGGCAAGGCCCCGCAGGATTTGCACGCTCTGGTGCAAGGAGCAACAGTGGCGGCATTTTTGAAAAGTAGAGCAACGTCAGAGGTCGGTAATTTTTTCTGCAAAGAATCACAAAAGCTTCTGGGTTGTGCACAAGAAGGGACCCACATGTCAGTGCATTCAGCAACATAAAATAAAGAAATACAAATAAAACAAATCAATAAGAATCGGCAAAGCATCTCTGATTAGATTTTATTCACTACTAGAATCTAATCAGAGATGCTTTGCCGATTCTAGTCCAATGACCAGCTCCAGCAGGGTTAGAAGGGAGTGTGTGTGTATGCGTGTGCATGGCTGTCAAAACTCCAAAAACAGGTCAAGTAGCTCTGGGGAGGCCAGTCATAAATTAGAATACTTGGTAAGCAATGGGCCATTAAGTGAGGACCACTTGTATTTGGTTTGCTAGTCACCAAACCATGCTCACCCAGTCACATGACCAGCAAGCCATGCCACCAGTCACATGACCAGCAAGCCATGCCCACCCAGTCATATGACCAGCAAGCCACGCCCACACGATCACATTACCAGCAAGCCACGCCCACACGATCACATTACCAGCAAACCACACCCTCAAATTAGGCCACACCCACAGAAATTTGAATCCCGCCCCTGGGTGGGGGGCATTGAGGATGAATTTGTAGCACCAAGGGGGCGGTGGAATGAAAAGGTTTGGGAACCGCTGGTTTAGAGGCGTGCAATTTTGTAAATTTTGAGAAGTGTCGTCTACAGAAATAGCAATTCCTTGTATAAGGACGGCCTTTCAGTACGAAGAGGTGGATAAGCTTGAAAACAGGAAGCCGTGTAGACCATCCGCCTCCCATCCTGAAAGGCCACCTTTGTTCTTTTCCTTGCAGAGACGATGTGATCCTTTTCCCTACTGAAAAGTGGAAGCCAGAGTTTCAGAACGAGGACAAATCCATCTTGATGCTGGTGAGGTCAGGAGTCAAGAATCTTCCCCCATTTTTTGGGGGGGGGGAGGGGGGAAACAGGACACTTTTCAACTCCTCTTTTTTCCTCCTCCTCTCCGGTTTTTAGCAGCGCAGTTTTTGCCATGTTCAGGGAGTCGCCAGAAGCAACAACGTCTCCGGAGTTGGCTTTGCAGCTGTGAATTAAAACTAGGTGGCTTTCCATCTTAGGAACCTTGTCAAGCCATAGTCCTTTCAGAGGGGTTGAAACTGCCTGCAGTAGTTAGCCCTGGTCTCTTCAAGCTGATGTCCTCTCGGTGCAAAATGCTGAGCAGCAGAAGGCTGCAATCTGGCCGTCTCCCGGGCAGTGGTGGGATTCAAAAAATGTATTACCGGTTCTGTGGGTGTGGCTTGGCTTGGTGGGCATAGCAGGGGAAGGATCCTATAGAATCCCCCTTCCTGCCCCACCCCACTAACCTGCTTTCCAGCTCCGTTCTCCTGCACAGGGCAACACAAGAAGAGCCAGCCCATCAGCTGGGACTCAACGGGAGGCAGAGAAGAGATGGGGGCAGGGGCAGTCAGAGGTGGGATGTGCTGGTTCTCCGAACTACTCCAACTTTCCGCTACCGGTTCTCCAGAACTGGTCAGAACCTGCTGAATATACCACCTCTGCTGCCGGGCACATGTTTAATAAATGTGTTATCATTTCTCTTTCAACGGGATCTTGGGCTACATGTAGTTTGAACGGAGAAATTGACTGAGGTTATTTGCCACTGTTCTGTTAGTGGTCTCCAACAAGGCTCCCATTATTATCCTCTGAAATAAGGGTCCTTCATGGGACTCATCCATCCATCCTTCCATCCATCCATTCTTTTAAAGGCAAGCCAGGATAGTGGGCGTCTGAAGCCCCCTCGCTTCTAGCTGGGCACAGCCCGGTTCTGTGGAAAGGGCAGCTCTCTTTTCAGCCCCGGCTGTTGCTTCTCACCATCCCAGGATGGGAGAAGTCCGGGCACAGAGCAAGCTTTTTCTGCAAGAGAGAGGAATGGGGGGAGCAGGAGGGGCTTGGCTCCCAAAGTTTGCCAAGTCATTTTACTCTTAGGAGCAAAAGTGGGATCCGGCATAAGGGGAGCCCTGGCCAGGCTGTTAGTCAGAAACACAACTGTTGGTCACCTCCGGAGAGGGTCTCCTCCAAGTTCAGTATACCCAGAGCTGCACCGGGGGCTGCCCGGCTGCTCTCCAGAGCAGGGGTCTCCAACCTTGGCCGTTTGAAGCCTGCTGGACTTCAACTCCCAGAATTCCCCAGCCAGCAAAGCTGAGTTGAAGTCCTCCAGGCTTCAAACGGCCAAGGTTGGAGACCCCCTCCCTGCTCCAGAGCCCCAAAGCGCGCCAGCATCCACGGGCAGAGAAGTCGAGCGTCTCTGGCGGAATCCCCGGAGGGAGGGAAGCGGGAAGAGAAGAGAAGAGCAGGAGGGAGGGAGGAAGCGAAGAGAAAGAAGGGGAGTCCCGGCGGGCCCCCGGCCCCGCTCGCTCACCATTTGTAGCCCCTTCCCCGCTTGAGCTTGAGCGTGAGCGCCGTCTCCAGGCAGAGCAGGAGGTTGAGCAGCGCCAGCAGCCAGTACGCGCGCTCCTTCTTCACCTCCGCCACCCGCCAGACGCCCAGCAGCGCGTGCAGGGCGAAGAGCAGCCGGGTGCCCAGCGCGTTCAGCAGCACCATCGCCTCCATCTCCACCCCCACCCCCTTCTCTTTCTTTCTCTCTCTGTCTCTTTCTCTCTCTCTGTCTCTTGCTCTCTCTCTCTCTCTCTCCCTCTCTTTCTTTCTTTCTTTCTTTCTTTCTTTCTCTCTCTCTCTTGCTCTCTCTCTCTGTGTGTCTCTTTCTCTCTCTCTCTGTCCCTTTCTTTCTTTCTCTCTCTCTCTCTCTCTCTCTGTCTCTCTGTCTCTCTCTTTCTCTTGCTCTCTCTTTCTCTCTCTCTCTGTCTCCTTTCTCTCTCTCTCTTTCTTTCTCTCTTTCTTTCTCTCTTGCTCTCTTTCTCTCTTGCTCTCCGCGCAGAGGGTCCGGCGGCGGGCAGCAGAGCCCGGCCTCCTCGTCCCTCCCTCCCTCTCCCGGACTTCCTGAAAGGGGACGGGGTGGGGGCGACAGACAGGGGCGGGGAGGACCAGCTGAGCCAGACGGCCGGAGGCGGTGCGGGCGGGGTGCGGGGCTTCCCGCGGCCCCTCCGAGGGCTGCAAGGAGCGGCGAGGTTCCCACCCCTGCCGGGCGGACTGTGGCAAGGAGTCGCGGGGGCCTCCCGTCCAATGCAACATCCCGGCCGGCCAGGACTTGCAAGGGCTTCGCATCTCCCCGAAAAGGGCAGCCGGACAGGCAAATCACTGACCCAGGAGAGATTCAACCTGGGAATAAGGAGGAATTTTCTGACAGGGAGAACAATCCACCCATGGAACAGAAACTTCCCTCGGAAGTTGTGGGAGCACCATCAGTTGAGACTTTCGAGAAGAGATTGGACTGCCATTTGTCAGAAATGGTGTAGGGTCCCCTGCTTGGGCGGCGGGGCGGGGGGAGGGGGGGAGAGGGTTGGACTAGATGACCTTTAAAGTCCCTTCCAATCTGTATCTGTATCCCTCTCTCTCTCTCTCTCTCTCTCTCTCTCTCTCTTGTTGAGAGATCCAGCTCTGTATATAGATACAGACAATAATCAACCCCTGGAACAGAAGTTGCCCTCGGAAGTTGTGGGAGCTTCATCCCTGGAGGCTTTCAAGAAGAGACTGGACTCCCATCTGTCAGAAATGGTGCAGGGTCTCCTGCTTGGGTGGAGGATTGGACTAGATGACCACCAAGGTCCCTTCCAACTCTGTTAATCTATCTGTCTATAAATTGGTCAAACACCCTTTTTACAGGCAGGAGGGTCAGGGAACCCTTCAGGAATCACACAAACACACATAACTTTGGCTTGTGCTGAAACCCGAAGTGAATATGGGTGCAAGCCCCCCCCCCACTCCCCCCGGCCCCATGTCTACAGACAACCTTGATGGCCTCCACATATTTCATTAAATTATGGTGCGGGAGGGGATCGCAATTGCATCGGAAGTTTGGGGAAATACTGTTGAGCACCAATTGCCAGTATGGGGCTACAACTCCCACCTTGAAAATTTTCTGAGGATTAAAATTTAATATCCCCACGCTTTTTTTCCCCAAGTCTTCCATTTTCTCTACGATTAGTTGCTGAGTTAATAACACATGTTCCTGGAGGATTACAGTCAATGATCAAGAAAATTAGATGTTGTTTGAATTTAATTTAGTTATATAAAGCTGCTACAGTAACTTACAGCTTTGATATTTAATATTTAATAAGCTGGTTCTTCAAAGAATCCTCTCAGTAATTGTCTTGAAATACTACCCCCAAAAGCCATTTATATTTTCTAGCTGAAAAACCTGTTTGTCAACTCGTTTGGCTTGATATGAACTGTCTGGTGAAGATGACAAGTCCGTTTCCTTCTTCTATCCAAAATCATGAGACGCTTGAGGAGAACTCAGCAAAGCTCTCTGACAAGGAGACACCCTGGTCTGTGGTTTCCTTTTCAGAGGCTTCTAATTCTTCATTGCCCAATGAACACGATTTCATCAGAATTGTCTGTCAACTATCACTTCTTTGCATTCTTGAAAGGTTTTGCTTGGGTCATCCGTGATGATATCTGATCCTCTGTCAGCTTCTTTTTCAAGGATCCTCTATTCCAGAGGTCTCCAAACTTGACAGCTTTAAGGCTTGTGGACTTCAACTCCCAGGATTCCTCCTCCAGTCATGTTAGCTCAGGGATTCTGGGAGTTGAAGTCCACAAGTCTGAAACTTGCCAAGTTTGGGGAGCCCTGCTCTATTCCAAGGGTCTTCAAAGTTCAACTCCCAGAATTCTTGAGCTAACATGACTGGAGGAGGAATTCTGGGAGTTGAAGTCCACAAGCCTTAAAGTTGTCAAGTTTGAAGATCCCTGCTCTATTCCTTTAAGCAATAGCAAAACCAATACCACTTAGGCTTATACGAGGGCTATCCACAAAATAGATTACGTTTTCGTCTGTAGCAAGAAGGGGCGGAGCTAGTGCGGCCATCTTTGGTCTGTGCGTCCACCGCTTAGTCTGCATCTAGTCATGCTAGTGGGAGGTTCGTATCGTTGCCCGTTATTTCACAGCAAACGTTTGAAATGTGTGCTGCAATTGAAAATCCCTCGAGTTGTGAGGTGCGATCAGTGATAAGGTTTTTGTTGGCAAAAAACCATAAACCGACTGAAATTTTTTGGCAACTGTGTTGAGATTTGAGCCAGTCAGTCACACTCGCCCGCAGTTCCACATCGTCGTCAAAGCGCTGTGTTCCAAGCCAGGTCTTCATCCTCGGAAACAAGTGGTAGTCGCTTGGTGCAAGATCGGGGCTGTAGGGCGGATGAGGAAAAATCTCCCACTTGAAAGCATTCAGGACTTCTCGAGTGCCGTAGTTCGGCCATTTTTAAACTGAATGCACCATTGGCGCACTCCACCTTCAGCGATGATGTTGTCCCTGTACACTTCACACAGTTGCCGAAAAATTTCAATCGGTTTATGGTTTTTTGCCAACAAAAACCTTATCACTGATCGCACCTCACAACTCGAGGGATTTTCAATTGCAGCACACATTTCAAACATTTGCTGTGAAATAACGGGCAATGATACGAACCTCCCACTAGCACGATGAGATGCAGACTGATGGCTGCGCTATCTCCACCCCTTCTTGCTACAGATGAAAATGTAATCTATTTTGTGGATAGCCCTCATATATAGCTTCACAGTTATTTACAATGGTTTTAAGAGTCAGCATATTAGCCCCAAATAGAATAAAATAGAATTCTTTATTGGTTAAATGTAATTGGACACACAAGGAATTTGTCTTGGTACAAATGCTCTCGGTGTACATAAAAGAAAAGATACATTCATCAAGAGTCAAGCATCATCAGGTGCAACACTTAATGATAGTCATAGGGTACAATAAGCAACCAAATCATACTAGGAAACAGTCAATATAGATCTCAAGGATACAAGCGACAAAGTTACAGTCCTACAGTCACAAGTGGGAGGGGGTGGGTGATAGGAGTGATAAGAAGATTAACAGTAATAGTAGTGCAGACTTTGTAAATAGTTGGACGGTGTTGTGGGAATTATTTGTTTAGCAGAGTGATGGCGTTCGGGGAAAAACTCCCCTTGTGTCTAGTTGTTCTGGTGTGTAGAGCTCTATAGCGTCGTTTTGAGGGAAGGAATTGAAACAGTTTATGTCCGGGATGTGAGGGGTCTGTAGATATTTTCACAGCCCTCATTTTGACTCGTGCAGTATACAGGTTCTCGATTAAAGGCAGGTTGGTAGTAATTGTTTTTTCTGCAGTCCTGATTATCCTCTGAAGTCTGTGTCTGTCCTGTTGGGTTGCAGAACCAAACCAGACAGCTATAGAGGTGCAGAGGACAGACTCAATCATTCCTCTATAGAACTGGATCAGCAGCTCCTTGGGCAGTTTGAGTTGGCGCAGAAAGAACAATCATGGTCCTCATTTTACAGACCTTGGAAGGATGAGTCGACCTTGAGCCAGTGAGGATCAAGCTGCAGGCAGTCGGCAGTCAGCAGAAGTAGCCTGCAGTACTGCATTCCAGTCACTGTGCCACCACAACTCTTGCCAAGGACTCTCGTCTTTGCATTATGTACCCAAATTAGCTAAGCTTTTCCCTTCATTGATAAGGGCTTCCAACTGGCAGCCTGGTTTTACTTCTACTAGTATTGGATCCCTTGTTCTCGTCGTCCAAGGATTCTCCATAATATTTTCCAGCATTGCAATTTAGTCTGCATAGAGTTCTGCATAGAAGCTACAAGGGGATAAAACCCTTGTCTGAAAAGACCCAGAATCCAGGAGGAGAAGAGACGGCATGTCCAGAGTTCTGGCTGATTGGTAGCCCCCTCTGGAGGCCGACCTGCCTTCTGTTCCAAGCCGTGTTTCAGAGCCCTGTGTTTTCTCCGGGCATCTGATGGTGGCCTCCCCTCCGTGCCTCTTACCTCTGCAGGGGTAGCTCTGCTGGCCAGAGGGGCAGGTGGTGCAACAATGAGCTGCAGAATCTAGTGAAACTCCCAGCTTATGAGAGAAGCAAAGTATCTCTGGGGATACTTTTATAAGTGTAAAAGGACTTTTTTTTTTTTGCAAAGGGTTGGCCAGATGTCATTTCAAGATTATTCTCTCTCTCTCTTTCACTCCCTCCCTCCCTCTCCCTTTCTCCCTCTCCCTCCTCTTCTCCTCCCTCCCTCCCTCCCTCCCTTTCTCTCCCCTCCTCTCTCTTCTTCTCCTCTCCCCCGCTTTCTCTCTTCTTCTCCTCTCTCCCTCTTTCTCTCTCTTCTCCTCTCTCCCTCTCTTTCTCTCTCCTCCTCTCTCTTTCTCCCCCCCTCCCTCCCTCTCTCTCCTTCTCTCTCTCCCCCTCCCTCTCTCCCACCCTCCTTCTCTCCTCTTCTCTTTCCCTCTCTTTCTCTCTCTTCCTCTCTCTTCTTCTTCTCTTTCCCTCTTTCTCTCTCTTCTCCTCTCTCCCTCTCTTTCTCTCTCCTCCTCTCTCTTTCTCCCCAATCAGAGTGGGGGGGGGG